GATTGAATACAGGAGTAGAGTTGTTACGTACAGCTGCCCTCTTGGCGAATTCGAGGTGAAGAATGTCAATCTTCTCTAGGATACGCTCAGCTTCATCAAGAGCTTGACGGCGACGCTGAGTGAGTCCACCAAGGCGGTCCCATTGATCACAAATTCTCTGGCAGCGAGTGTTAACAGAAACTGAATCATGGTACTCCAGGGTGCTAAGAAGCAGAGAAAATTTCAGATTAAATATTACTTCACAATTTAATTACATGTAAAAAAGTATTAGTAGAAGTCCCTAACAAGAATTCTTACTTAAGCTCCTGAGCAATGGCAGCAATCTGTTCCACACGATCTTGGTGGGCAGCAAGATCACTCTCAAAGGCTTCATGTTTCTTCTTGAGAGCCTTGAGCTCATTTAATTTGCACTGACGGAAATCTTGACTCTGGAGCATTTCCTCCTTACCTCGAGTCCATTCCTCATGGATGTCAGCTTTGTGCTTGAACTTCTGAGCCAAATGCTCCAAACGCTCTAGCCTGTAATAAGATAGGAAAAAAAGGTCCAGTAAAAAAAAGAATAAGTTTTAATTGTATTAAAGGTATGTGCATAAAGATAGATTGTGATACCTCATCATCTCAGAGAGAAGCCATTCCTCAAATGCCTTTTCAGAGGTTTCTAGACCCTTCCAAGCATTGGCAATGTCCTATAATGAAACACAATAAAATGGAATGAATAAGAATAGTAGTCAAGCTATCTATGAGTCTAAACTGGACAGGAATTTGAGTACTTACAGACACCATTTTGCCTTCAGTGGGCATGTAAGCTGGTCGATTGGAGAGACGCAACTTTGTCTGCAGGGTGTTGAAGTTTGTCTCCAGCTTGGCTTTCTGTTCAACACGTGGGGGCTTGTGCTTGCGACGGTAAGTACGGTACTCTTCAAGCTTGCGTTGCACACCCGCCAGAGAGTTGTCTGATTGACGGCTCTGGAGCCAAGGCATAGTTCGTCGGATCCACTCCAGCAGCTAAAATGAATATGCCATTAGAAAAATTTAAAGTTAAGCTCCCTATGACAAAATAAATAGTAAAGTAATAATAGTACTTACATCGCTGGCCAGGCGCTCATATTCTTCCATGAGACGTTCGTTTTCTTGATTCACCTTGAGTACTTTGCAGATCCTGTTGGCAGCAGTCTCCGCCTAAGCAGAAATTAAAAGGGTTTGAGTTTTGTTCTACTTGATTATTTTGTGCTTGAAAATGGGTAAAAGATGAATGGTAAAGCAAAAAAGAGAACAACATGCAGAGATAATAAGCAAGGTAACCTGGAGAGACAAAGATAGATTTATGACTAATAATAAAAACAGGAGCTATTCTTAGCACAAAACTATCCTTCTCACCTTCTGAGCACCGGAGAAGCAATGGTAGTATGATGAGACATAAGTCATAATGGCACGTTCATCAGGCATCGCAGTATGGGTCATATCTGCAGGCATTGGTCGGGGTTTTGACCATTAGCATATTACGCACACAAACAAATGCACACAACACAAAGAAATATTAGAGGCACACAATCAGGCAAGTTAAAATTTCTGAAGAAGTTGACTGAGAATAGAAAACTAATTTAAAAGGATGACCCAATGGTCACACACCTTCTGCTTGTAATGAAAGTATATGAGGCATGAAAAATATTTACTAAAATAGAAAAAGGGTTAAATAATGTTTGATTTGTTTTCCTTCAGCAGTGTCATGCAGTACACCACAATTGTTAATAAATTGTAAGTGTAGTTCACTCAGAACTGTTAATCTTCCAAAAAAATAAATAAATAACATTCCAAGAAGCAAATACAGTTATCTCCTTGTCCTTTCAGGGTAAGATGACAACAAACATAGATGGTTATTTCTGCTTTCAAGAAGAGGCATACAGTCCATACATTGAAATCAGTTAGTCAATCAAAAACAGTGTATTTCTTATTTGCAACTCTCCCCCAGCGCTATACCTGCTGAGCACCCTGGAAGGCATGATAGTAGCATGACACATAGGTCATGATAGCACGCTCATCTGGCTTAGGTGTGTTGATAAGGTCTGAAACCACCACCAACTTAAGTTAATATCCTCCACCAAAGAAAAAAAGCAGTCTTCAAAATATGATAAGTTAAAAGTTGAACATTAACAATTTTTTCATACAAATTTACTTTTAAAAAATACCCAGTAATACTTGTGAGTAAGTAAATAATAATTTACCTTCGGGATCCAACATCCGTGGGATGTCAAGGTACTTCTCAGCAACATCAAAGGCAGTGTTGAGATTCTCCAGCGGATTGTCCTTGGACAATTTGCTGTAGTCGATGAGGTCTGGGCGGTGACGGTGAATGAGCGCACAGAAAGCCAAGCCATCCTTGAAGCTATTGACAAAAAAAATAAGATAAATGTTATAAATCTGACAAAAATAAGATGCAAAATACAACACACTAAATGTATTTATGCTGTTTCTTCGTAATAGCCATTTATCTGATATAAAAAGTAAATATATTGTATACCTGAGGTGGAAGTTCTGCACGTTGACATTTCTGTAGGGAGCAGTTTTGCGCTGGCACCACAGAAGAAGACCCTCCTTGGCAGTCATTTCTTCAACAGAAATGTCCTGGATGGCGAATCGGAGAATGATGGTCCAGATCATACCCAATGTCATCTTCAGGTTGCCATCCACAATTTCTGAAAGTAAGAAAAACCACATTCGTTATATGCGAAAATTGGAGAGTCACTTGCATAAACAACACAAGCAGCAATCTTTCAGGATTACCTTCAGCACCGATGGAAACCAGCTTGACACCTTTGCTGGCGATAAAGTCGAGGGCCTTGTTCACGTTGGCGATCTTGTGGAAACGCATCTTGCCTCGGTCGGGCTTAGGGAGGGTCTCGCCGGATATCACCTCCAGCAGCAGCATCAGCTTGAGGCCGTTGCGGAAGTCCTCCTCGATGTTCTCGATGGCCGTTCCGGCCTTGCGCAAGTGTGAGTTGCACCATGCCGTGAAGGTCTAAAACAAAACAAAACAAAACAAAACAGACGATTAGGGCGAATCTCAGAAGAGCAACATCTCCTCCTCCCTCTCTGACAGTTGGTGCAGTGTACAGCCACTTTCTTTACGACAGAGTGCTCGGGACGGCCCTGCTCGGGGTGGCCCCGCGTGCCACCGCACCGGCGGGCGCCGCGTCAAGGCTCTGACCCCACGTCAACACGCACCGGTCGCAGCGCCGTGGCGCCAGGCGTCGCCAGGCGTCCCTACCCCTGGCACCGCTGCAGCGCGCTGGCGCCGAGGCCCCTTGCACCACCATGCACCCGTGCAGTTCACGTGCGACGCCCTGCTCGAGGCCCTGCTCTACCTTGGCGGGGCGCTGGTCGTCGGGTGTTACTTCGAGGAGGCACTTGAAGCCGGCGAACGGGAGGTCGGCGCGCTCAAGCAGCAGCTCCTCGATCGACATCAGGGGCATAGGGGGCTCTGGTTCCGGTTCGGGTTCCGGCTCGACTTCCGGTTCGGGTTCCGGTTCCGGCTCTGGCTCCGGTTCGGGCTCAGGCTCGGGAAGAATGAGGGGCGAGTCGTCCAGCTCGATGGTGAGCAGGTCGAGCAGGTCCGGGGGGTGCAGGGCGGGCAGAGGCGGCGACACGTTGCGTCGCTCGAACCCTTTACCGTACACGGGCATGCCCACAGAGTCCATGAAGAGCGTGTGCGTGTCCTTGTCGACGCCGGGCAGCCCGCGGGGGTGCACGTCCTCGTGCGGGGGCTCGACATGGTGCGCGGGGGGCGGCAGCGGCGGCAGGGGGTTGTGCGGCAGCAAGCAGGGCTGCGGCTCGACGCTGGTGGGCAGCGCGGCCGACAGGTTGGCCAGGGCCGTCTCCAGCTCCCTCGTCGGCGTGGCCACGAACGGCCGCGTCTCCCACACCAGGGGGGCGGGCACGTCCGCCCCCGGGGCCGCGTGGCCGTCCATCCGGAGCTTGTGGGCGCGGGGGCGAGCGGGCTGCACGTGCACGTCAGTCAGCGGCGGCGACCGGGGCGATGCACCGCGAGATGCACTGCGTGATGCGCTGCGTCGTGCCGTGCGCGATCGACTGCCCTGCGCCAGGCCGATGGGCCCTTCGGACCAGGGCGACCCGATTGCAAAAAGAAATCCATCTCGATTCGAGAGGCCAAGGCTCCCGGGAAGCCCTGCCAGACCGCGCCCCGCCCCGCCGCGCCCGCCCCGTCGACAGGCCCGCCAGGCATTCCACCGCAGTGCAATTGCGTTCACAAGTCGACACGCAGCCCGGTAGCCCGGGCCGGCCGCCGGGGTAGGGGCCCTGCCCGTCAGCCGTCAGACCGGCCACAGCCCCGGGACCAACGCCACTCGCCACCGGCACCACGCCATCCCTCGCGGTCCTGGACGCAGCCGCCATCGTCGTCGACGTCTTACTTCATGGCCCTCTTGGACGCCGTCGCCGCCCTCGGGTCTCGGAGAAGGCTGAGTAACGACCAACAAGCAGCTCACCGGACGGCAAAGGCGCGCGGTGCGGTCAGGCGTTGAAAAAAGTGCGACATTTTCCGCCGCGCGCCGCAAGGCGTCAGTCAGATGAGCCCGCTATTGTTGTTGTTTCCGGGTCAAGAGGGGGGACCGTTAGAGTGGGAGCGCAGGGACCTGAGGGACGTGGCGGGACGCATATGTAAGGAGGCGGGGGCGTGCGGGCGGCGCGCGAGGACGGGTCTCACGGTGCGACTGGAGCGCGGCCGGGCGCGCGGGTAGGCAGCCCAACGCACGCGCGCCCGGCGGCACGGCCTACCCTACGGGGGCTCCCCGCCGCTGCTCTCGCCCCCCGCCAGCCCGAAGCGCCGTGGCGACATGCGCGGCTGGGGGGCTGTCCAGCGGGGGGACTTCCACGAACATGACGACGTGGCCGTGCGAGCCGAGCCGCGTGACGTGGAGCGGCGTGCGAAGTGTGCTGAGCTGTCGGGTGTCGCACCTCAGCCGAGCGCTCTGCGGACGCGGGCAGACAGACAACGCGACGAGGCCAGGGCAGACAAAAGCCCGCGCAGCGATATGTAGAGCGGGGCGGTTGTCATTTGAACCTTGTGGCCTCCTGACCCACTACTGCTCCGGAGGCACCATACTGGTGGGCGGTGGGCAGTGTGGCGGACCACGGCGCGGGGCGCGGGCAGGCGCACCTCACCTCATGACATCCATTCCCCATTCCGTTCCGAATGAGTATTTCTGCCGATCTCATCTCCAACTGACGGCGAGGAGAAACGAATCATGGGTGAAATGAATGGAAGGAGGGGGGGGGGGGGGCAAATGGGCAGACAAAACACCCGTTTAGTCCCCATCTGAGTTTGGCAGCGACATGGCGTGGCGTGGATGGGCGGGGCGGGCGGATGTCTGCGTCTGGTCGCGCAGATTTGCACAATGAGTTGCAGAGTGGAGATAATGTCCGCCAATTCACTTCCTTCCAGTCTCGACCGCATCAGTCCCCCTTCCCTCCCGCACTCGAGTTGTTTTCGCTTTTGTTTTCGTCGTTCGCAAGGCAATGGCGGGGTTGTCAGCAGCGCACTCGTCAGGGCGGGCAGGCGGCGCGGGGCAGTCACCGTCGCTCGTCAAATATCGCGAAAACGCTCGGGGGGGGGGGTCCCTCCGACAGTGCCACAGCGCGGGGACATGTGAACATGCCCCCAGCCCCGTACCGCCTCAAAAATACTTATCGCGGCGATCTTCGACTCGAGACATTAACTTAAGTAAAGAAATGCGAGTAAAGAGGGTGGGGCGGTGGCGATGCGCGTGGGAGGGCCGGAGAGAGGAGAGTAAATGACGGAACGCCGCGCCGCGCCGCCCCCGCGAGGTATTCTTAAACTCGCACCAGCCCCAAATAGCGCGGGGCAGCAGCGGCGGCGCAAGTCGGTTCGCTAAACACTTTTCGGTGTTCAGTTCACGCACAGCCATATGCGACCGCTAATTTTATTCGAACAGAAACCACCTCTAGCCGCGCGCGCGGAGGCAGGTGATTCCAGGTCTGCGCTCCGGCCGCGGCGGCTCCGGCCGGCAACCTTTCCCACATTCCACTATAAAGTTATTCCCGCCGGGCACAGCCGGGCCGGACGAGCGAGCGCCGCCGCCGCCGCCGCCGTGTTGCCCCTCGGGGCAAAACTAGGCCTCGCCTGGGATAATGAGAATCGGGAGGAGCTCGTAGGAGGAGACGAGGAGAGGCAGGCGCTGCGCGGCGCTGCGCTCGCCACACAAGAGGTGTGCGCGACTCTGCACCTCGGGTGCGCCGCCACCGACACCCGTGCGTCACGTCACACCACCCGGGGTGTGGCGGCGGGGTGTGTTGTTGCGCTATCGGCAGGGCGAGGCTGATGGCCTAGGCGATTTTTCTCTCTGCTCCGCGTGAGTCGGCGGTGCTTGCTACCCGGCAATGCAATACTGCTGCGCTCATGCCAGGCAGCGGGGCGGTATACATACAGCTGTGAATCAGCGCGCCCCGCCCCGCCCCGCCCAGCTCAGTGCCCTTCCGCCGCCCGCCCCCGCCCCACCAAAGGTGTGTGTAAAGCAAGCTGTGAATCAGCGTATGTCCAATGTCGACCTGTGTAATGTTCCTTTACCCGACACCGCTCCCCGCCCCGCCCCGCAGTGACAACGTGTGACACTTCCCCCGTCCCACCAACAATCAAGGTCGCCTAGAATAGCCAGGCAGTGGCCCAGCCACCCAGCAGCGGCCCGGCTGCGGCGGCCACCGCGCCCGCCACCCCCGGCGCTACGCGACGCGCCCCGGCGCCCCGCCCCGCCCCGCCCGACGACGGCTCAGAACGTCTACCCGCGCGGCCCGAAATAGCAGGCCGCCGCCGGGGAGCGACAGCGGCCGCAGCAGGACGCCCTGGCGGCCGAGTGCAGGGCGTGTTCGCCGATACATCAATGGAGTAATCTCGGGCGGCGGGTGACTCACTGACGAAACGTCGGCGCAGCGTAGCGCCTTCATCGGCGTTGAACTTTGATTTCCTCTATTGAGCGAGCGGTGCGGGTCTGTGGGGCGGGCCCCCGAGCCCTGCTCCCTCTTCTTCCCCCTCAAGCGCCCCGTTACGGCGCCGTTGCGGCAATCAGCTGTCCGTGCACCGCGCTGCCCCCCACGCCCCGCCACGCCACGCCGTGACCCTGGTTGACTCCTCCGGCAATGCGCTCTGCGCGCTCCCCGTTCCAGCCCCCATCATTCCACCGCTTGGGATATACATAGAAGAAGCCAGCGGCCACTGAGGCTGCTTTTGCGATAATTTAACCAAAATCCTGCGATAAGTCGTGTTTTGCGATCTTCATGCTAAAGGGCATTATCACATAACTTTCGCAATAAAAAGTATAAGAATAAAATCACTGAAAAAATGTCATAACTTTTTATCGCAAATTTGTGTGATAAAAAGTTATCACAATGTTTTTCCATTGCTTTTTTCGTGTACATTTTATTGCAAACATAATGTTATCATCGCCCTTTAGGATGAGAATCGCAAAATATGAGTAAAATTATCGCAAAATGGATTCCAGTGCGATCAAATTATTAAAGTAAAAATGAATAGATAGAAAGTA